CAGGACGAGGATGGTGCTCTGCATCCCCTCCACCTCCTCGTCTAGCTGGATGATAAAGTCATTCAACTCTGGGAGAGACGGAGATCGGGTACAGACAAAGAGCAACGTCAAAAATCCACTCAACAGTAGCATGTTGAAAAGCTGTACACATGAAGTGAAGGTGAAGTGGTCTGCGAGATGTGGATGCTGCTCATGTTCTCACCGTCTTGACTGCTCTTGAGCTCCTCGCTGTACTTCTTCTGCAGTGCCAACTCGGCCTCCAGCTGGGCGATGCGTCCCTGGGACAGCTGCCTACCCAACTCCTGGTTTTCCTGAATCAGCATTCGACACTTGGCCATCAGTTTCTTCCCCGTCTGGCTGTAAGGGAAACAAGTCTCACATCACACAGTGAACCAGGAGACAAAGCTAAGGGTCAACAGAAAACTCTTCAACCTGCTCATCCCTAAATGTCTCTCTAGTCACAACAGGATTTTCATTATTATATCCATTAGCTTTCAATTCAATATAACATTAGCAATAGGAACCCCACATCCCACAAATCTGTTCTGTACAAATAAATGAAAATCATCTTCTTGATAAAGATCCAAAGTACGAACTCACATTTTTCTCTTAAAAGTTAAATTATGAGTATGCATTTAAAATCTAAAGGTCCTCAATGTGACTGAAAGCCAAAGCAAACTATTTCTATGGAACTAAGCAATTTTGCCACGACCAAAGTCTCAAATTTAAACAACACACTCGCTACATTACTAAGTGTGAGGAAAAGGCAGAATAAAAAATGTAACAGTAATATTAGAATGACAAGAACTACAATTTAAATATCAACCCGTAACTATGAGTAAAAAATGGAAATGTGCACTGCACAACCAGACACTAGTTTTGTGTAGTCATCACTTTAAATACACAGGAGAAAGTGTTTCAACAGTAAAATCACAGCAACAGCTTAAGGCGCTGCTTTCTCAGCTTCACAACAGGTTAAGGAATACTCCAACAGTCCAGCACACCTGTTATTTTTACATTAGCAGTTATTGCGTTTGTGCTTTACAAAAGCCCTAATCAAGAAGCCAAATTTACAAAACATATGACAGGCATACACGTTATTTAAAACCAAAATTAACTGACATCTATTTAGTCTATAAATGCCTATGGGAGTCATCTTCTTATTAACAGTAATGGCAAATAAACTCTGCAACTGTACCCTATAAAAGTAGAAGCAGTCATTAAAGTCTTAACAGCTCAGAAAACCATGTGTTATTCTTACTTGTCTTAAAAATTAAGCACTACACATTATTTAGTTAACTGCATTTCTTCTCAATAGTTTAAATAGTTATCATAACCATTCATTTCTCTAAATGACTGAAGACAAATGCTTTCAGCTTTCAAAAGGCTGTGTATACACTGCCAGCTTAAAGCTCACCAGGAGTATAAATTTGTTTTTTTTAAAACACAGGAAAAGACAAAACAGATTCCATGTGTGTTTCATTCTGAAAACAGTGGCTAAAGATCTGTGCCACACAGGTGAGAAAGAACAGTCTAATCAGCTATGAGCGCAAATGGCTGAGGGAGAGATTGTGAGGTCAATAACAAAAATACACAGAAATACAATAAATACATTCTCATCAACTCATAACATGACTTGTTGAAGACATTTGCATTCACAACTTGAAAACAGGACTCCGTGCACCTACAGCAGTGTGTTTTGGTAAGTATCGGAAGAATTAAGCAAAGCTTAATTCTTCATAAAAGTGCAAATGTTATACAAGTGTAAAGCCAATTGTGCTTCTTGGTTCACACACACTGCAGTAAGTGTTTGTTTCAGAGAAAAAAGAGAAAGATCAAATGAAATGCCAATAAAAAGAAACAAGTCACAAAATAAAACATGTAAATACACTCTACCGTGAGTGGGCCCATGTTCAAAGACACAGGCGACTGGACCCTCATGCCTGAACCACAGTCCTCTGTGGACCGAGGATCTGGCTCCGCTCACAGTCTTAACATCATTTCTAGTGTCTCTTCCCCCCAAAGTCTTAATTTTAAATCCTAGAAACTTTCCTCATGTTACTGAAATGTATCTAGACTGTCCAAAAGTCTTTACGTTTCTCAGGCAGACTAGAGGGGTATGTGTGTGGTGTAATCCACAGTTAAATGTCTTTATAGTAGTATGGGAATTGTAAAATGTTCAATTGCTGTTTTAGGCTAGGGATGCTCCCTGCCTGACTCACCCTCCACCATAACCCCTCTATTTAATATGTGAACTGTCTGGTTTGAGCTGAGGGTGCAGGGAGGGCATATCCGTGTTGGGAAGTGAGTGACCACCTCTTCAGGAACAGTCCAGACTCCTTCAGGCCCTTGGACGGTGAGGGGAGAGAGCTGAAACACAAGTGTCACCTGACCATACTGTCTTTTCACTTTAGGTTATGTGATATGTAGCTGGCACAGTGCAAGAGTACAAAAACAGTTTTGTTTTGCAGTGACTGGCTTTCTGTAAAGTCTGAGTCTCGTGGTGAGTACAGCATTTGTCAGCCTTCCCCCCACCATTGTTCCTGCATGCCTGCAGTGAGAGTGAGGGTGGGGGGCATGAGGAAGTCTTGACTTTTTTGGGGGGAGGGGGGTTATTTTGATTGTCTTTACCTATCAGGTGTAAATTTCCAGGCACTCAGTTCATTTTGGGCCTGCTCCAGTTTGTCTTTAGTCTGTTCTAGTTCAGCCTTCATTTTGAGGAAAAACAAGTTGATGGCTGGGTCCACCATGGATGACCGCAGTTGGGCCGCACTCGGTTGTTGGACTTGCTTGAGGTACTGGATCTGGGTCTGCAGGATAAAACAAACAGGTGTTACTGACCGGTAAAGTGTAGTAGATAGTGATTTTAACTGTTAACTTCTATCTCCAGTCGGAGCCACAATAGCAATTCTCCCACAATCAAAAGAACTAAACGCCTGGTTCGTAAATCCAGGGATGTTTTTGAAGGTTATCTGATTGCTTTTCAATCAGGAGAATAAAATGGGCAACAAGAAAGCAATTTCGGCATGTTGCATTTTCAAATAAGATCAAACATCTTTGAAATCTAGATTTAAATTTAGATTGCTGCAAAATAAAAAATACTTGGTTGGATGTTTAGCCATAGCTATTGACTAATGTTGGTTAATCTTATATTACATTTAAACCATTTAAATTCTATAATAAATGTAACTGTGTATCCTTTCCTGGATACACCCAGCAAAGCCTAACTCAAGGTAGATCAAACGAGTTCAAAACAAACAAAAACTCACCTTTTGAAGTCAGCTATGATGACCTCAAATTTCCACAGGACTTATTATTTGAATATATTTAAATAAGAGGCAAATGTGCAACTAAAACTTAACAGCCAGCTAAGAATTTTACTATTTCAGTCAGAAATTTTCCCCAAGCCTTCACAGCTCAGTGGTTAAAAGCAAAGTAACAACTGGAGTTTAAAACGTCTCTAAACTCTACCTGGCAGTGTGTGTTGTGTTTACCTCAGCTGCCCTTTAAGAATGACATGTGCTGCCATAAAGCCACTAGGTGATCCACTGAGATGTCAATCTGATAAGAGCAAAGGATGCCGAACTCAACACTATTTACCTTTAGCCCATACCATAGTAATGAACGAATACAAGGTATAGTCCAGTGCTGAAACAATTAGTAGACTTGACAGATAAAATGAGATGATTCAATGATTGCTTGTTGAAGTTTTCCAAGTGAAAATTACAAAACATTACGACGAACGAATAGAGTTTCATTAAATACAGTGTACTTTTGGGGTTTTTTGCCATTGATTGGACTAAGGAAACACGTTGTGTTGGCACAGCATAATACATTATAATACATTATAATATAGCAGTAAGAATAGGGAACATACAAGTTCCACTTTAAGAGGTGCTGGGTGCACCAACAGTTATGCATCTACACTCTCCCTTTTAAGACAAAACTAAGTTTCCCGCAGTCACACCAAAAACATTATGAAAGTAGAGGAATAGACACATACTGTGCACTCTTGCATTTCCTGCTCCTTGGTGGCAAGTCGCATGACCAAGATGTTCTCCCTGCGTGCAGACTCCTGCTGTTGCTGCTTGAGCTTCTCCTCTGACTCCTTCAGCCCTGTTACATCATTGGCTAAGACGGTTGAAGAGGGAAGGGGGAGAAAAAGAAAGTGCATCAGAAGACACATCCCTTTCAAAAAGCAGGCAAATATGGCGCGCAACATGTAATGATTAATCGCTGGCAGAAGAAACAATGTCTGTGTTGTATTGGATCACATTTATGTAACAACACATGTACTTACAACATAAATCTGCATATTTTGCCTCCAGGACCTGGACATATGCTTCATGCTGTTTCCACCTGAGAGGAGCAGAACATGTGTAAACATTAAAAAAACAAAACAAAAACAAAAAAACAGCGCAACCTAAAATTAGATCCACACAACATAATTCATCTCCAATTGCAGAGCTGTTATTTACCTTGTGCACAACTCCTCCCTGGTCAGGGTCTTCATGTCAGATTCACTGAGGCGAACCTGTGGAGAGCAAGACCAAGGACCGGTTAGATAAAAAGAAGCCCCCTCCCCTCCTCCCCATCCATTAAATAAAGCTTATATTTAGACATGAAAAGGGGGCTCACGACACGTGACAAATAAACACGCCTGGACTAGAAAAAAAAAGACACTCACCTTCTTGGGTAGAGGCTCCTCGTTGGTCATTGTGAACTGTGGAAGTAAACGTGAAAGAAAACAATCATCACCATTAATCACACCCTGGTTGTCGTGTGTTGAAGCGACTGCATCATCGTTAGCTGTCCGCACGCAGTAAAAAAAAAAAAAAAAA